TTTATTTATTTATTTATTTATTTATTTATTTATTTATTTATTTATTTATTTATTTATTTATTTATTTATTTATTTATTTGGAGAGGTTTTTGCTATAGGGCGCGTGCGCTCGCCAGACAGACAGAGACATAGAGACAGGAAGCGAGAAATCACTCCCCAGGGGGGATGGTCACTCTGCAATCCCTTCTCCTCCATTCTCCTCTCAGGATCTTGGGCACGCACGCACACGCACCCGGCGTGAGTTTTAAGCCACCGGGTCTGGGACGCAAACCGCAGTCAACTACGTGGGAGTCCAGTGACATAGCCATTATGCTAACTGCTGGTTCCCAAGTACTCCTTTATTAACCCCCCTCAAATGATCCTCTGATTCCTGCGGGGATCCAGACTGATGGATGCCCCTGCTAGGAGCAGGGGAGAGGAGGTTGTTAGGGGGATGATACAGTCGGATTTGTGTCTTAGTGTGCCTGGGGTGCATGGAAACATGGACTGGAACTTTCCCTTGTAGAGGGGTCACGTTTTCCTGCTGTGCCACTGTCCTGCCCCTACTGCTCCTCCTGCAGCTCTTATGCCGCAGGGTAATCACGGCACCTTCGTGAGACCCTGGCACGGTTATCACGGCCTTCTGGCTCCCACGGATTGCACGTCATTCCATAAAGGATGTGGCTTATCACCTCAGGACCCGCACAACACTGGACATGGACATAAAACACTTTCCTTTCTTTCTCTTTCTTTCTTCCTTTCTTCTTTCTTTCGTTTTCTTTCTTCCTTTTTCTTTTTCCCTTCCTTCTTTCTTTCTCCTTCTCTTCCTTCCTTTCTTTTCTTTCTCTTTCTTTTTTGTTTTTGTTTTTGTTTTCAGAGAGATTTTTCCTATAGGGCACATGCACTTGCTGGAGAGACAGAGAGAGACAGAGAGACAGAAAGCGAGAAATCACCCCCCCCCCAGGGGGGATGGCCACGCCGCAATCCCTTCTCCTCCATTCTTCTCTCGGGATCCTGGCCCGGTGTGAGTTTTATGCCACCAGGTCCAGGACATGAACAGTGGTCAACTACGTGGGAGTCCAGCAACGTAACCATTATGCCAACTGCTGGCCCCTATAATACTTATTTCTCAGATGACAAAAGGTTTATAGGTAAAATGACCTTCCCTGTGTCTCGGAAAAGGTGTGAAGCCAGGATTTGAATCCAAACTTTTACTTTCGAATGCCCCATGTTGAGGTTATTGGCACCATCTGCTCCTGGAGGGGAAGGGTCTGCTTCCCAAGGACTGGTCCAGCCAGCCATGCCCCGTCTCCTCACTATGAACCTATGTCCCTTACCCAGGTGTTCAGAATTCTGGTCAGGCAGCTGTTCCCATCACATCCACCCTACACACATACGAACATACACCTCTCCCATCTGGTGTGTGATGTGAGGTCTGCCCTGCGTCTCTTTTATTTACTTTCAATAGTGTGCTAGAAGGCATGTACGCTCACCAGAGAGAGACAGAGAGATAGAGAAAAAGGGAGAAAGCACCCCCTCCCCAGTGTGGCATGGTCATGCCACAATCTCTTCTCTCCCATTTCTCCATCCTATAGAGATTTGGGGCGCACGCATACACGCATACACACACACACTGACACACACACACACACACACACACACACGCCTGACTTGTGCAGTCGGCCATGTAGGATCTAGCTCCCCTAACCACTAGGCTCTATCATATCCTCCCCTCTTCCTTCTCAACAGAGCAGTACCAGAGGTGGTACACTCAGGGTTAATGGATCAGGAAGGAAGTGCTTCCTGGTTTTCTCTGACCCGGTCTGGTCCAGCCTCTGGGAAGGTGATGTCAGGCCATAGGGTCAAGCCGGAGGGGTCCATGAGGCTTTGAGTAGCCTCCTTGGTTGGAGGGTAGGAAGGCAGAGAAGGGAGCGAAGATAAAAATCCCTTCATTTATTGAACTCACATTAGCAGAGCTCCCATTTTGTGCTTAGGTCAGAGGCTGAAGTTACAAAGGATGACTCAGAGGTGTCTTCATGCAGCTCTCAGCATCTGTGACACCAGAGCTAAGACTCAGCGATCACCTTAGGGAAACTGAGGCTCACAGGGAGGGACAGGGGCCTGCCCGTAGTCAGACAGCCAGTGGGTGGCAGAAGGCAGTTCTTACCACTGCACAGCTCAAAGGCTCCAGAAACTCAGCGGTGCCTTGGCTTCATGCAGGGGCTTACTGGCTTCACTTTCCTCTCCAGCTCAGGGAAGGAAGAGCTGGGACATCCAGGGTGCAGGATTGGAGTGTTTGGAGAAGGGGCTGGAGCTGGGAGCCTTTCCTTGTGCTGTCATTCAAGGCCAGGCAGGCAGAACCTTGTTGTTCTCTGCTCCTTGCCCACTGAGTGACATAACAAAGGGGAGAGGCCTCAGAAATCATTCTCTTCTAGCCCTCTCTCCCATGACACAGACGAGCAGACGGCGGCAGCCCAGGAGAGAAAGCCTTGTGGAGACGTAGCAGCAGAAGTGCAAATTGCAGATGCCCACGTTTGGCCTCCTCTTCCATGTTGCTGGCTCTGACTTGGGGCCGACCTGGGCTGGATTTGCAAGGTTGGGGCAAGCTCGGGAGACTATTCAAGGAGTGTTGCCAGGAGGCCTTCTCAGATCCACAGCACCTCGGACAGGACTCCCTGCCAGCCCTGCCCTGGCAGCCGCCCCCCGCCCCCCCTCGCTGGAGGTGCTCAACAGAACTCCAGATGTTGGTGTGCGGGTATGTTGAACTTGTGCTTATGAGCCTCGAAGAGGTCACTCAGCTCCTGGATGTAGCGCTGGTGCAGCTGGTCGACCTCCTCCTGGGAGGGGAACGGCGTCTTCTGCACCTCAATGGGCTTCCCAACTGCAAGGCACAGAAGAGGGCAGGCTCAGAGTGGGAACCATGGTTGTAGGGCCCTTGGGGCAGGCGCCCACCCCCATGGTCACCCCTGCAGGAAAGTGCTCTTCCTACCATCTCTTTCAACCTTAATTTTGCGTAACGGGTTCTAAGATGTTAGGACAACTCCAAGATGCTGATATAACAACCACCACCATTTCAAGTGCCTGGCAATGTGCTAGGTGTTTCACATGTCTCATCTCCTTCGACCCTAGGGGGATAGAGGCTGTCATTATTCCTGTAGGGCAGGTGAGGCTCAGAGAAGTTAAGTAACTTGTTCAAGGTCACATGGCCAGGAAAAAACAGTGCCAGGTTTTCAAACCCTGGGAGTGTGTGTTTCATCTCTAAGCTATATGATTCTGGGAGTTTCAGATACCACCATTAGAAAAGCCTGGGGCCAGCAGGTGGCAAGGAAGTTAAAGCACTGAATCCCATGTGGCCAACTTTGTGGCTTGAGTCCTGGATTCAGTGGCTTGAGAATCATGCCAAGCACCTGTGTGTGCATGTCTAAATTCCTGAGAGGAGAGGAGAGGAGAAAAGATTGTGTCATGGCCATGCCCCCAGGGTGGGAAGTGATTTCTCACTTTTTTCTCTCTCTCTCTGGAGAGTGCACGGACCCTATAGTGAGAGAGAGAGAGAGAGAGAGAGAGGAGCCTGCATTTTTTTCTCTTTTTTTTTTTTTTTGGAGAGGTTTTTAGTTATAGGGCGCATGTGCGATGGCCACGCCACAATTCCTTCTCCTCCATTCTCCTCTTGGGATCTTGGGCACACATGCACACGCACCCAGTGTGAGTTTAAGCCACTGGGTCCAGGACTTGAACCACACTCGACTACATGTGAGTCCAGTGACATAGCCATTATGCTAACTGCTGGTCCCAAGAGCCTGCATTTTAAAAAAACATTTCTGTATACTTATTTTTTTTTTTTAAGAATTGTCTTATTTAATTTTATTTATTTTAATCTGATCAGAGAAGGACAGAGTGAGAGAGAGAGGGAAAGTGAGAAAGCAAGCCACCAGGTTCAGGACTCAAACCATGGTCGGCCATGTAGGAGTCCAGCACCCTTAATCACCACGCCACCTGCTGACCCCAAAGAACCTATATTTTAGGATGAGGGGTGTTCCCAGCCCAGCAGCTCTACTTTCCCCGCTTGCCCCACTGACCTGCAGTGTCCATCCCTTTCCCCTGCCCTGTACCCTAAGTAACAACTGAGAAGACCTGAACTAGCCTCCCTCTGTTTCTGCCCCACTGGGAAGCTGCTCCCTCGCCCTCTCCTCTGGAGCTAGCTCTGGAGGTGGCAGCAGTATTAAAGCTCATGACGCTCTGACCACACGGCACAGACAGGGTCACAGTGTAGAGTGTACGGAGTTTGCGCTTGGTAACAAGTGGATGGGTAGAGATGAGTCTACACACTGTCCGAAGAACCTACTCGGAATCCATTAAGAAAGCTAAAGAGGAGCCCACATAGCTGAAACAGGGGTGCTGAGCCCACGCATTACAACTTATGTCCATTTCTCACAAGAAAATCCCAGAAGCTCGAGTTCAGAGTCTGCTAATTGCTACTTTACACACAACTTTAATATGCTTTGAATGTTGAATGTTCTTCCTTGGGATCCCACTCTCTCCGAACAAGCCTCATGAGCTCCTCTGGGTCGAAATGAAACTCTTGGGACCAGCAGATGGTGTAATGGTTACGTTGCTGGACTCCCACATGGCCAACTGCAGTTGGAGTCCTAGACCCGGTGGCTTGAGATTCATGCCCACACATGTGCACATACCCAAAACCCCGAGAGGGGAATGAAGGAAAAGGGATTGCGGTGTGGCCATCCCGCTCGAGGGTGATTTCTCGCTCTCTGTCTCTCTGCTGTCTCTCTGTTGAGTGTACATGCCCTATAGCAAAAATCTCTCTCTTAAAAAAAAAAAATGAACTTTTTCTTAATGAAAAGTCACATAGATCCTGATTCAAACAACTGCGTTACTCAAAGGCAATGGGACCTTTCAGAGGTTACTTAGCTTCTCTGAGCTTCAGTTTACCATGAAGGAAATGAGGCTAATAATTCCTGCCTCCAAGGTCGTTAGGATGAACTGAGCTGCTGTGTGCAAGGAGCAGCGTGGTCGGTGCCTGGCACACAGCAGGTGCTCGCAGTCAGCAGCAATAGCTGTCCTTTGTGCGTCTGTTAAGTTCTTCTCCCAACTGCCTTACACAAGGGCTGTCTGCTGTGTGTGTGTGTGTCACACTCTAGGAGTTCAGGGACACATCTGGCCCATCTCCTTAGTCCCTTCCAGCACATAGCCCGGTCCCCTGTGCCTGCGACCTCCCAGCCTGAGTCACTGCTCACCCACGGTGGTGATGGGCCGGCGGTAGGGCATTAACCCGAAGCTGTACTGGAAGACGCCACGGCCATGGAAGAGAGGGAGGGAGATGCCCATGATCTTCTGCAGCCGATTCTGGACACAGCGCAACCAGGAGCCAGAAGAGTTCTTAACCTGGTCGAATAGGTCATTCTCCCCAAAAGAGAAGATGGGCACCAGAGCTGCCCTGGAAGGAAACAGGAGAGAGGGTGTTAGAGCCCGGGGAAAGCACGAGCTGAAAGGTCACCCAGCTCTGGCAGGACGCAGGGGCCGGATGTTGGAGCAGAGGACAGAGCCCGGGAACAGAAGTAGGAGGCTCGGCTTGGCTCCCAGGTTTGCCAGCACCCGCTCTCTGACCTTGACCAGGTCCCTCTCGGAGCCATAACGTCCCAGTTGTGCCATAACAGGTAGACCAGGGTGCTTCAGAGTGCTCCCACACGGAAAGCATCAACTTTATTTTTCCCTAGAAAATTCTCTCCTGCCCCAGCTGGCTGGTATTCCTTAAAGATGCTTCAGGGGGCTGGACAGTGGCACAGCAGTAAGACATGCTGCTTTGGGGAGCTGGCCCACACGGGAAGGTTTCTGAGCACTCCGGGTGTACACGTGCCCACGATCTGGGGCTGACTAATGCGGGGGTGGATGGCGGTGTCAGGACCCTGTTGGGGTGGGGGAGGCTACCTCACTGACTCCGTCTCTTGCTCATGGAATGAAGATGCTTGCTCTCCCAGGTGGAGGAGCATGCCAATGTGCTCCAATCCCAGGTGTTCCTATTTTAGGGGCCTCAGGGCCAAGGCCAAGTATTGGGGCACATGCCCATTCCCACCTAGTCACTTTGTCCTCTGAGTCTCCCATGGAAACTGCTCTGGGTATTTGGGCACGGGACACCAAAATACATTCTTTATATTTTGTGAATGGACCTTGGTTCCCCCTGCTGAAATAGAACCCTGCTGTCCCACCAACGTCTCATTCTTGCCCATCGTCACCGCCCCCCACCCCCCATGTTCCCCTTAGTAGCTCAGTACCCGTGTATCAGGGCGAGTCTGACAAAGCCCTTGCGGTTCCGCAGTAACAGCTTGTAAGCTCCAGGTCTGGCATCCAGCGCTTCCTGGGCGCCTCCTACGATAATGCCCAGCAAGTTCCCGCTGCCCTTCCTATTCAGAATGTAAGCAGCACTCTCCTTCTCTGACGTGACCAGCCCTGGGGAGAGAGGAAGGCGGGTCAGGTATGGGTGAGGAAGCAGGAGCTTTGAGAGCAGGTGTGATCCAAGAGAGGGATCCTAGCAGTGCCCACAGGACTGGGGAGCCCCCTCCCGGAGCTCAGTGCCCAGCTTGGTGCTGCGGGAAGTGCTTCTATGGGTCTAACTGCCTCCCCTACTGCACATGCTGGTCGCGGGGGAGACAGGACTGCTGGCAGCCCTTCCTAAAAGCCTCCTCTCAAGCTACTGACCCCATCTTCCTGAGCCATCCAGGGTGGGAGACTCACCCGAGGTCATGATGTAATCCCTGAAGAAAGGGGCCCGGAACCACAAGGTCAGCATCATCAGATGGGGGCGGATCCCCGGGAAGATGGAAGAGAAGCCAGTGCTCTCAGTGCACAGGTTGGTGAAGGCTCCTGCCGCCAGGACCCCATGGGGGTGGAAACCCGCAATATAATTCCGGGAGGGGTCCAGCTCAGCGGTCTTCACGAGCTGTGGGGACAGCAGCCAGGTGAGCCAGGGCCTGGCCTATGTGCCACTCCTGACTCTGCCACCCACTTGTCCGTGACCTCAGGCAAGTGGCAAGTGGCAAGTGGCTTCCCATCTCTGAGCCCCAGATTCCCCATGTCTGACCGCCCTGGTCCTGACACAGCTTCAGTGTGACAGTTCCTGATGGTACCATGGCATTCCTCCCAGGCTCCCCATCTGTAAGTGGAGTTATTTGGGCCTGTCTCCTTTATAACGCAGGGCTTCTGGGAAGCTCAAGGATGAGGACACCTGGAATGACCAAGACTGTGACAGAGATAATGTGAGGGCATCGATGGCCATGTGGGGGCACCAGCATGCTGCAAAGGCTTGCTTTCTTTCTTCTTCTTCTTCTTTATTTTATTTATTTTTTAAAATTTGCTATAGGACGCATGCTCTTGCAGGACAGATGGACAGACAAACAGACACACACAGAGAATGAACCCCCTTCAGGGGGATGGCAACATTGCAATCCCTTCTCCATTTCTCTTTTTGGGATTTTAGGCACACACGCATATGCTCCTGGTGTGCTTTTCAAGGCACACTGTCAGCCATGTAAGATCCAGCCGCCTTAATGACCATGCCGCCAGCTGGCCTCAAGAGCCCCATTTAACAAAACCCAATCCTGTACAAGAAAATTTGTCACTTTGGACCTGGGGGTGAGCTTTCAGGAGACAACCGGGAGTGAATCCTGTTGGGATGAGAGCACGTGAACCACAAGGCTGGCTCTGGTGCCTTCATCCCTCTGTACAGAGTTAGCACCTTGCCCACGCCCTCTGCTCCCTTTCAGTCCCTGTCCACCCTCCTGGCCATGGGGACCTCTGCCAGCACAGTGACTTGTCCAGGTCTGGTCTGGTCTGCAGCATGGATAGATGGCATCCACCAAACATTGTGGATGAAGGGGAGAGAGAGCCATGGCCACTAGCAGCTTCCTGCAAAGCAAGGTGAAGGCAGAGGGCGGGATGGAGTTACCCATTGCCGCCCATGTGGTCACTGCACAGCTATGCAATGAATGCATAGCTGAGCCTGCAAAGACTATCGCCTTGCTCCGTGACCTTGAGAAGTCCCAAGCCCTCCCCTTCTCCCTCAGGAACTGCGGGGCCCTCCTTTACAGTGTTCCCGGCTCTGGGGACCACTCCATCAGAGGTAGGGGGCCCCCAGGACCCTCAATGCCCAGGCAGGAGGCTTCCTGACCACCTGGACTGCCCAGGCTCTGCAGTTTGCACTCTCCCTGGGGCAGGCCCTCCCACTCTGGCTCAGCTTTGCCAGGGGACAATTCTTTCTCTCACTAAGCTGGAACTTTCAGCAAGGACTCCCTGAGGATTTCTTTTTCTTTCTCTCTTTCTTCCTTTCTTTCTTTCCCCTCCTTTTTTTTTTTTTTAAATTTTAATTGACATGTAATAATTGTAGTCTCTGAAGATTCTTTTGGCTGCCTGCTCTTCTGAGCAGCCTCGGGGGAACTGGGAGACAGCAGTGGGGCCTGAGACTGAACAGGTTCACATTTTCTATCCTTGACCTGGACTTGGGCTCTACAACCAGAGCCCCTCACACACACACACACACACACACAGTACACCCTCCAGATTACCCATTGACCCTTGCAGAAGGGCTGCAGGACTACAGGGGAAGGGCCCATCACCTGTCCTAACCCCACCACCACCACCACCACCATCCCAACATAAACAACCGCTTTCCCCTTCCCTCGCACAGCTGGAGACTCCATACATGAAAACACAGCAGAGAGCACTCTGGCTCTTCTCTCTGGGAAAAGCACTTCCTCGGGAATCCACGTGGTGGCGTTTCTTTAAAGAGGTACCTTGCTCAATGCACGGAGACACCTGCTGATAACATTTTCATTTTCTACTAGAGGAGGGTAATTTTGCAATTGCTGTGAAGACAATTTGACAATTGGTAACAAATCCAAAAAATGCAACTGACCTTTTAAGCCAGCAACGCAACTACTGAGGAATTTAGCCTGCAGGATTTCTTGCACTTGTGTGACATCTGACGTATTATTAACATTTTTAACTGAAGCATCAAAAAGGAGGCATCCATTCAAATGCCCATCAGCAGGGCTGCTTGGGTGAACTCTGAAACAGTCATGCAAAGGACCACCGTGCAGCTCTGAGAAGTGCGTGCCGCTTTTGTTTTTGTTTTTGTTTAGTTGTTTAATTCGCTATAAGGGTATGTGTGTCTGCCAGAGAGGGACAGAGAGAAAGAGAAAGATGGACGGAAAGTGAGAAAGCATCCCCAAGGGGAATGGCCAAGCCACAGTCCCTTCTCCGCCATCCTCCTCACGTGCCCAGCATGATTTCCCAGCCACCAGGTCTGGCACTCCGACTGCTCAGTCGGCCATGTGGGATCCAGACGCCTTGATCTCTACACCACCTGCTGGCCCTTGTGCCCCTGCTCTTCCCATCCTCACAGGGGAAGATGGCCATGGCAGATTGTTAGGAGAAAAGCGGGGGTGGGACAAGGTGTGCAGTATGTCACCAGCTGCTCAGAGAAGGGAATTACACTTGCTTGTGTATGGATGCACCAAACACTAGCAGTCATGTTTGCCCCGGAGGATGGGGATTGGGGAGATGGGACATGCAGCAGGATGGGGAATTTTCATACTCATTCTTTTGTCTCTTTCTGAATTTTAGACAAGAATGTTATTCCCTTAGTAAAAAAAAGGACTGGTGTATAGAGAACTACCCTGGTGAGTGTGAGAGCCAGCTTGTAGGCAGGTGTGTCGATATTTGCACATGCATCTCCTTGTACACATACCACGATGTGCCTCTTGGGGCCATGAGGTCCTACTGAGGCCCTACCCATGTGTTCCCAGATGTGGTCTTTACTTTCTATGCCAGCCTCTCCCCTCTCCCCCACCAAAGGGTATGTGTGCTCATAGGGGAGAGACAGAGACAGAAAGAAAGAGGGAGAGGGAGAATGCACCCCCCCCAATGGGGTATGGGCTCATTGCAATTTCTTCTCCATTTCTCCCTCTTTTTGGGATTTTGGGCATGCATGCACACATGCCTGAAGTGTTTTTCAAGTTGCTACGTGCACTTGCCAGAGAAAGGCCGAAAGAAAGATAGAAGGAAAGTGAGAAATCACCCCTCGGGGGGATGGCCATAGCATAATCCCTTCTCCTCTATTCTCCTCCTGGGATCTTGGCACACACGCACATGCGCCCTGTGTGATTTTCAAGCCACCAAGTCTGGGACTCAAACAGCGGTCGGCCAGGTGGGAATCCAGTGACATAACCACTGCACCATCTGCTGGTGCACTATTTAGAATATCTTAAAGAAAAACAGTAAGTGCCAGGCACTGAGAGCTGAAAAGAGTGCCTGAGGTAGTGCTCAGCCCCTGTGTCTCCGTTGTGTCAGGCAGCTTTCGTACTCCAACTCGCTTCCTCCTTCAACCCTGTATGGGAAGTAGTGGTATCGCTACACCCATTGCCCAGATGAGGGAACTGAGACACAGGTTTCAAGAACTTGCTCTAGGTCGCACAGCTAAAGAGCCAGAGCCAGGTTGGAACCAGGCAGCCTGGCTCCGTGTGTATGACCGGCAGGTCCTGCACCCTGTAGGAGTCCCTCAAGGAAATGGGTGAGGGGTGCACACTGCGTAAAGGCATCATTCCAAGTGACATGGTTCGTGCCTGGAGAACTCAGATGGCAAATGGAGGGGAGGCAGGTGAGGGTGGACAGAGGCCTAGAAAGCACAGACTTGGGGCTGCAGCAAATATGGATTTTATTCTAAGAGTGGTAGGACTCACTGGTGTGTTTTTATCATTTTAGGAGGGTTATTCCATCCACTGCGTGAGGATGAATTGGGGGGAATGTTGGCAGGAGCAGAGATTGAATAAAAACATGACTATGGTCAAGTTGGTTGGCCCTCTAGCCTAGTAGTTAAGGGAGCTGGATCCCACACGGCTGACCTGAATTTGAATCCCAGCCCCACTGGCCTGAAAGACATGCTGGCTGTGTGCGTGTGTGTACCCCAAATCCCAACAGGATGGAGAAATAGATAAGAGATTACAGCGTGACTGTGCCCATTGGAGAGTGCTCTCTGTTTCTGTCTCTCTCTGGAAAGTGCACATGCCCCATGGCAATTAAAAAGAGAGAGAGAGAGAAATGATTCTGCTCAGACACTTAGGGTAGAGGGGGAGGAGTTTAAGAGAGCTCCAGGCTCCCGATCAATGATTCTAGACTGGAGCTCCCCCAGTCCCAGAAAGAGACCTTTGATAATAACAACTCCAAAAGTTTCTGGTTCTCATACTGGGAGGAGATAGTGCTGCTTCCACTGACAGTGCAGACACCAAGAGTGGGGGAAGCACCCTCAGCAAAGAATTATCCAGCCCCAGATATCAGTGGTGCCAAGGGAGAGCGAATCTCCTGGAGGGCGACTCATCTGGGATGTAGGGCAGAAAGGGCACTGGGAGTGAGCCAGGTAGAGGGCTCAGATCTTTGCAGGGCCGCTGTGCCCTGTGCCAGCTCCCCTTGCTGGAGGGAGGGAAAGATTGCCTGAGGTAGTGCTCAGCCCCTGTGTCTCCGTTGTGTCAGGCAGCTTTCGTACTCCAACTCGCTTCCTCCTTCAACCCTGTATGGGAAGTAGTGGTATCGCTACACCCATTGCCCAGATGAGGGAACTGAGACACAGGTTTCAAGAACTTGCTCTAGGTCGCACAGCTAAAGAGCCAGAGCCAGGTTGGAACCAGGCAGCCTGGCTCCGTGTGTATGACCGGCAGGTCCTGCACCCTGTAGGAGTCCCTCAAGGAAATGGGTGAGGGGTGCACACTGCGTAAAGGCATCATTCCAAGTGACATGGTTCGTGCCTGGAGAACTCAGATGGCAAATGGAGGGGAGGCAGGTGAGGGTGGACAGAGGCCTAGAAAGCACAGACTTGGGGCTGCAGCAAATATGGATTTTATTCTAAGAGTGGTAGGACTCACTGGTGTGTTTTTATCATTTTAGGAGGGTTATTCCATCCACTGCGTGAGGATGAATTGGGGGGAATGTTGGCAGGAGCAGAGATTGAATAAAAACATGACTATGGTCAAGTTGGTTGGCCCTCTAGCCTAGTAGTTAAGGGAGCTGGATCCCACACGGCTGACCTGAATTTGAATCCCAGCCCCACTGGCCTGAAAGACATGCTGGCTGTGTGCGTGTGTGTACCCCAAATCCCAACAGGATGGAGAAATAGATAAGAGATTACAGCGTGACTGTGCCCATTGGAGAGTGCTCTCTGTTTCTGTCTCTCTCTGGAAAGTGCACATGCCCCATGGCAATTAAAAAGAGAGAGAGAGAGAAATGATTCTGCTCAGACACTTAGGGTAGAGGGGGAGGAGTTTAAGAGAGCTCCAGGCTCCCGATCAATGATTCTAGACTGGAGCTCCCCCAGTCCCAGAAAGAGACCTTTGATAATAACAACTCCAAAAGTTTCTGGTTCTCATACTGGGAGGAGATAGTGCTGCTTCCACTGACAGTGCAGACACCAAGAGTGGGGGAAGCACCCTCAGCAAAGAATTATCCAGCCCCAGATATCAGTGGTGCCAAGGGAGAGCGAATCTCCTGGAGGGCGACTCATCTGGGATGTAGGGCAGAAAGGGCACTGGGAGTGAGCCAGGTAGAGGGCTCAGATCTTTGCAGGGCCGCTGTGCCCTGTGCCAGCTCCCCTTGCTGGAGGGCCCTGGGGACAGGCCACAGCTCCACAGGAAGGAAGTCCTCCTATAACACCAGGGGCCATCTAAGAAGGATTGTGCACCCCATCCTAGGACTGTGTACACTGGGGTTCCTGTCCTGCGTGAGCACTGGCCACCAGAGTCCACTGCCACAGCCAAGAGACCCAGTGTGTGGAAAGGCACTGAGTCCGTAGTGAAGCCTGGTGAGCTTTTGGGAAATTGATGGTGTGTCTCAGGTAAGGGAGGTGTCAGGGAGGTGTTCCCATGGCCAAGCCTGACTCTGACAATGACTAGCACTTCCTGACACCAGGTCACAGCCCTGGCCATGACCCTTGGCCCTCCTAAGGCCTGTGTAGATGGTGTTTGCTCTGGATGACAAAGTCTGCACAGGGGTTGAGGGGTGAGTAGGGACCACAGCTCCTGGGCCAGTCTTCTGCATGGGACAGGACAACTCCCCCTACACAGAATGGCTTGACTTGCCACCATTGGTGACAAGATGACTTTAGAAAGTTCTAAGGTCCACCAAGTTCTACTTCATAAACTCTCAGAACAGAAGCCCAGAAATCATTGGAGAACCGCAAGCCTTTGCAGGGGAGTGCAGCGGCTTGTGGATGGGGGGAGCACAGCAGATCCCTGCAGGGCCGGTGCTGTGGAAGGGTGGATGTGCTCCAGGGAGTTCCGTGGGAAGTGAGACTGGAGGCCACAGCATAGGACTAGAAAGTTAAAGTGTGCATTATCCTGCCCTCTGCTGGCCACTGCCTGGAACGCCCACTCTCAGCAGGTGGCACAGTAATAGGCCTGCAGAGTGCAAGGATCCTGAAAAACTGTGCACATAGGATTCTACATAACAAGTCCAGTGTCCCACCAGAGTCAATAGTGCTGAGGTTCAAAACTCTTCTCGAGAGCCACCAGGTTGGGGAAGGGCAACAGCAGATTGCCCTTGAGAGGGGACGATGTTGAGAAGGGACAGCAGATAGGACAGGCACAGAGTCACCTCAGCATCATTTCTGCCTGACCTGCGATTGGACACGCTCCAGGTGCAAGGAGAGTCAGCTCTCCCTTTGGAGGCCCTCGGGCTGCCCAGAACACCCTGGAAAGCTCTCAGGTGATCAGACCCAGTGCTGTGGGCTGGCCTCTGCGGCCTGTGCTCTCTGAGGTTTTGGGCCACCCTCTGCAGCCTCATCCACAGGCACACCCCCAGTCACCCTGAGCACCAGGCTGCTGGTCACACATAGACCATGACAAGCCTGGGCCTGTGCTTGGGCTACTGCCTTTGCCAGTCAGCTTCTTCCCCTGGTGACTCAGGGTTCAGCTCAGAGCCAGTACTTAAAAAGCTCTAGTTAGTGCCCAGAACCGACTTAAGGATTTTTTTGGGGGAAGGGGCCTTGTTTCCTGATATCACACACAGGTCACACTTCCTGGGGAAACTCTGACCTTGCTGGTGCAGAAGAGCGAGCCCCAAGCTGGGAAGAGGAGAGGTGGGGACGGAAGTCCAGAATGTCAGAGCTCAGAGGTCCTGGGGTGGAGATGGAGGACTCTGCTTGGATGTGCCCCTGGCTTGTCATGGGATCCACCAAGCCCTGCTCCAGTAAGCCCTAGAGGGAGCCCTACAGAGGAAGCACACATGGGGGTGGGGTGGCCTGCCCCCATAGGAGTATCCCAGGCTAGCAACACGCTCTGTTCTTTGACACCCACCACCCCTTACAAGCACAGCCATCTCTGCCCACCCACCTCTTGCCCTCTGCCCTGCAGCCCCACCCCAGCCCTTTGCCCTGGAGCTGGCTCTCAGGCCTGGTGTGGGCTCCTGCACTCTGGTTATCTCCCAGACTTTGTTAGTCCTTGTTGGGACCCAGAACCCCCAGAGGAGAGCCAGAGGTGGCCCTGGCTCTGCCACTGAGGCTTCTTGACTCAGGCAAGTTGTTTAATCTCTGTCAACTTGTTTCTTCCACCCTCCCTCTTCACCAGCCAGGGACCTAACTCTGGAGGGTCAGGAAGAGGTGAGTCTCACAGATGGGGTGGGGCTTATGAATGGGAGAAGCCGGCAGGTGGGCATGGTCCAAGCGGCAGGGTTCCAGGCTCTCAAAGTCCTTCTGGGGCTACAGCCACACCCATGGCTCCCTGGAGTCCCACTGACTCACTGCAATGTTATCAGTCTTTCACTTTCTGAGAACTACGAGTGATTTTATCTGTGTGGCTTCCTTGAACCCTTGCAGCCCAGTCAGGAATGGCAGGGATGTGGAATCATTTCCATTTCACAGTCGGGGAAGCTGTGGCTCAGAGACAGTGTAACTCACACAGCTGGTGTGTCACATAGCTAGTGTGTGGCAGAACTGGGACTAGAGTCCAGTCTGTCTAGTCCAGAGTCCACACTCTAGTCTTTTCTTTGCTCCTGTTTCCAGAGGAGGGCTACCTGCCTCCACCTAGCCTGCTCTGCATCCCCACTGCCTTTCCCAGCCTGACCCATCTGGCCAGGAAACCATCTTTGCCCAGCTGCTGAGTGCCAGGGTGTAGTCTATCTGGATTCTGCTCTGCAGGGTCTGCTCCCTCACGCCTGGGATCTGCTCTGCTCAAGACAACCTTCAAGTCCAGGGCCAAGAGTCCAGTGACCACAAGGCATCGTGAGCCAGAGAGCCAGACACCTGAAGGCACTCAGGGTAGGAAACTGAGGCTTGCCCAAGGACAACATGCCAGAGCCAGGGACATGGTAGGACCCTAGGACAGCCACCCTGGAGGCACAGACTATAATCTGTAGGAGAGCATGCTGTGTGACCTTGGTCATGCCCTCGTCCTTCTCTGGGCACCAGTCTCCTCACCTGGTGAATAGACAGGTGAGGATGGCTGGATGGTCCCCTTGGACTGTGAGTTTCTGACCTACTCCAGAGCTAGGGCTGCTGCTGTGCCTACACCTTTAATGTATGTATGTGCACCCACTATGTGCCCCACCAGTGCCTTCAAGGCCTGTGTGTTCTTTGGTCCTCCAGTTGGCCCTGCATCCCCTCAGTTGGGAAACCTTGACCAGAGAGAAGCTGGCCTCTTCCCTAGGCCGCACAGTGGTGGCAGCCCAGGCTCCCACCAGCCAGCCCGGTATTCTGCATGTGCACCCAGGACCGCACACCCCTGTGGAGACATGGGGCACATGCCCGACCACGCCATAGCTGGTGCCAGCACTCACCGAGATGGGGAAGTAGTCCCTCATGTAATTCCATATGGCCCACTTTCGCATGGCCTGGCAGCGCCTGCCCCCTTGCCGCGGAGTGTCTCGGTCCAGGTACCACCAGGTCGCATATAGGACAGCAAAGAACCAGAACCTCGTGAACAGGAGGCCGATGAAGACCACAATGCAGGTCTGGGCTGGGGAGAGAAGCGGGAGCTGGTAGGGGTCAGGGATCTGAGAGGAGGCAGGTGAGACCACCCAGGCTGAGCTCTCACAGCTAGCAGCCCCACCTTGGTCTTCATGTGCTCCCTCTAACGCCACCACTGACACCAGAGCAAGAGACCAGCTTTCTCAGTGTCACACTGTGGGGTGGGTTTGAGCCCAGTCGGAACTAGCTCCAGAGTTCATTGCCCAGGCACTAGGAGCCTCCTGGAGCTACTGCATCTGCATCTGCATTCACCAAGTGCAGTGGAGGCTTCTGGTCTGATTAACTCTCCTGAATAGTATCCATCTTTTGGATCTTTCTTTCTTTTTTCTTTTTCTTTCTTTTTTCCTTCTTTCTCTCTCTTTCTTTCTCTCTTTCTTTTTTCTTTTTTCTCTCTTCCTTTCTTCTTCTTCTTCTTTTTTTTTTTTTTTCTAGAGGAAACATGCCCTTGCCAGAGAGAAAGAGAGGTAAGGAAAGGAAAAAAATCACTCCTTGATGGGGCGTGGCCACACTGCAATCTCTTTTCCTCTGTCTCTTTATCCTGTAAGACGTTGGGTATGCATGTACTTGGCCCAAGTGTTTTTTAAGCCACTGGGACTCAGATTCAAACCACAGTAAGCCATGTAGGGTCTGGCTCCCTTAACCACTAGGTTATGTGGCCAGTGCAGAATTTCCACTCCTTTTTAAGGCTGAATAATATTCTATTGCATGTGCATGTTCCATTGCATGTGTTCACACACCGTAGGATGTGTGAACTCACTAGAGAGAGATTATTAGAGGGAAATTGAGAAAGTACCCCTTAGGCAAGTTGGCCATGCTGCAATCCCTTCTTCTCCATTCTCCTCTCAGGATTTTGGGCACTGATGCAGATGTGTCTGGCATGATTTTCAAGCTGCTGGATCTGGGACTCGTACCACAGTCAGCAATGTAGGAGTCTAGCACTTTAGCCACTGCACCATGTGTATGGCCCCATGTGTATACATTCTTTTTACCCTTTTATCTATTGATGAACATGTGAGTCACTTCCAACTTTGCCCTTTGTTTTCAAATCCTATTGAATTAGTTAACAAAACAATAGCAAGGCCAGGCTACACAGAGTATAGAATATCAGACTGCAGTCCTGGTTGGCCATGGTTCGGATCCCCAGGTAAGACTGAAAACCCTCTAGGTTTGAATGCAGGCACCCGAGACCCTGAGGAGCTGGTGCATTGGGGATGAGGCTGGCGATGTGACAGGACCCTGTCAAGGGTGCTCTGCTCTCATGTATGTGCACGTGCTATTGAAAAGAAAGAGAAAGAAAGAAAGAAAGAGAGGAAGGAAGGAAGAAAGGAAGGAAAGAAGGAAGGAAGGAAGGGAAAGAAAAAGAGGAAGGAAGAGAAAGAAAGGAGCAAAAAAGAAACAGAGAAGAAAAGGAAAGAAGAAAAGAAAAGAAAGAAAAAGAGAAAGAGAAAGAGAGAAAGAAAGAGAAAGAGAAAAAGAAAGAGATGGAAGAATGAAAAGTAAGGAGGCTCCACATACAAGCCCAGTCATCCAACATCTCCAGAAAAACTGGAAGAAACCACCTGGAGACGGCACAACCTGGCAGCTGTCCCTCCAGGCCCGTTCTCCTCCTCAGACCCACTGAGCAGTCCCAGTCGCTGCCCTAACCTGGGCTTTATCCTCACATCAGCCTGTGTTTCCTGGAGGAGCAGGAAAAGACCCTCCACGGGACAGCCTGTGTTGATTATCTTTTTATCTTAAATATTTTATAATTTAAGTTTTCAAAGAGAAAATCATAGAAGGGTTGATCTTGAATGGGTTGTGGCACTAGAAGGGGAGAAATCACCGCCCGTGTATTACTGTCCTACGTGAGTGCCATCATGACTGAGGAAAGGCAGAGGAAGTGCGATTGGGGAGGTAGACAGCACACACAGATGACACTGAAGGGGAGTTTTAAACACTTAGGGATTTGGGGCCAGCCTGTGGCATGGTGGTTAAGTCGGCTGGATCTCACATGGCTGACAGCGTGGCTCGAGCTCCAGACCCTGTAGCTTGAAAAACACGCCGGGTGCATGTGCATGGGTGCCCAGAATCCCAAGAGGAGAATGGAGAAGAAATTGCAGCGTGGCCATCTCCTGGGGGAAGATTTCTCACTTTCCCTCTCTCTCACTGTCTCTGTCCAGTGAGTGCACATGCCCTACAGCAAATTTGAAAAAAAAATTAAAAATAAAGAAAGAACTAGGAAAGGTTTAAAGGCTGGCTGGACAATAAGGGTCTCCTGGCAGCAGCACTGCATGTATGGAGCAGAGGAATGGAGGACTATGTGAACTTGTGTGTATGTGTATACAAGGCCACCATTCATATGCCAAAGAACGTTTGCACATATATAGTGGCACATGCAGGGAGGGTGTGGGGACTCCTGCAAATTGGGGGAAGGAGACAGGATGCCAGAGAACAGGATGAAAAGGAGAGAGATGTAAACTGTATTTTTTTATCTTAAAAATATTTAATGTAAAAAATGAAAATAAAGGCTAGCAGATGGTGTTGTGGTTAAGGCACTGGGCTCCTACATGGCTGACTACGGTTCAAGTCCCCGACCTGGTGGCTTGCAAGTCATACCAGTTCATGTGTGTGCAGGTCTAAAATCCTGCGAGCAGGATGAAGGAGAAAAGATTGTGGTGCCCCCGCCGTGGAGTGTGATTTCTCACTTTCCCCCTCACTGTCTCTAGCTGTCTCCCTCAGATGGGTGCACATGCCCTATGTCAAAAACTTAAAAAAAAGGGGGGGAATACAAATTTTAAATAATAAAAACCCCAAGAAGGACTCTCCCCTTGGGCAAAACCAAAAGTTTGTGAGGATGGTTCCCACTTAAGAAAACCAGCTTCAGGGACCAGCAGCTGGTGTCATGGTTATGTCACTGGACTCCCAGGTAGTCGACTGTGGTTCGAGTCCCGGACCCAGAGGCTTAAAAGTCATGCCAGGTGTGTGTGTGTGTGCATGCCCAAAATCCTAAGAGGAGAATGAAGGAGAAGGGATTGTGGCATTGCCATCCCCCCTGGGGGATGATTCTTCACTTTCTGTCTCTCTGGTGAGCACACACGCCCCTACAGTAAAAATCCCTCTTAAAAAAAAAAAAGAAAGAGAACTAGCAGTAGGGTTAGCAGATGGTGTATTGTTTTAGGCACGGGACCCCCACCTGGCCAACTAACTCCAGAATGCACTCACTAACTCTAGGAGAGCCAGCTGTTCCATAATTTGCATAGTCCATTGTCCCTTTTCCCCTGCCAAGAAGCCCTGATTCTCTGCCAGTCTTTAAAACTTCAACTTTTTTGTTGTTGTTTTTATCTTTTTATTTTTTTTTGGAGAAGATTTTGCTATAAGGGTGCATGCGCTCGCCAGAAAGACAGAGAGACAGAAAGCAAGAAATCACCCCCCGGGAGGGGGGGTGGCCATGCCGCAATCCCTTCTCCATTCTCCTCTCGGGATCTTGGGCATGCATGCACATGCACCCTGCGTGAGTTTAAGCCATTGGGTCCAGGACTTGAACCGCAGTCAACTACATGGGAGTCTAGTGACATAGCCATTACACCAACTGCTGGTCCCAAAACCTCAACTGTTTTTAAAACTCCCCTTCAATACAGGTGATGTGGCAGTTAAGGGCACTGGACCCCCACATGGCTGACTGTGGTTCGAGTCCCAGACCTGGCGGTTTGCTTTCTTACTTTCCCTCTCTCTCCTTTCTATCTCTTTCTGTCCCTCTCTGGTCAAATGAAAATGGATGAATAAATAAATAAAGTTAAATTTTAAAAATTATTTAAAATACAACAAAATTAAATAAATTCTTTGCTTAAAAAAGTGTATTCATTAAAAAAAAAAAAAACTTCCCTTTAATTCCACCCGTGCGCTGTTCCCCACCTCACCCCCATCCACACTGCCTCTTCTGCCCCCTCTCTGCTGTAGGCTGCTCACATCACATAGTCACCACTTTGATTTCCCAAGCTTCTCCTCTGGGTGACGGAATTGAGTGTTCCAAGCCATGGACAAGACCTGGGCATCACCCCCACATTCTCCTCCTCTCATCCTATGCCTGCTGCTGCACCCAGTCCCAGTGGAACCCATTTTTAAGAAGTTCTCAAGGGAGTGCTATACCAGGAAAATTAAATACACACACACGGAAATGAGAGTTCAAAAGCTAAGAAAATGGCCTACTTAATCATGGAGACAAGTCTGGAGTGGAATATCATATTCCAGAATTTAATCAGGAAGATCGATTAAGTACATGAGACTGAACTGGTGAAATAGCAATTTATGACTTTTGAGTAAAACATTGCTGATCTTCTTCTAGGTGTTGTTTTCCAGTTTTAAGGATTTTTGTCCTGTCTTGAGCTGCCAGTAGGTTCACGTACCTCCTATTTGAACAGAATCCTAACCTGCTTCCTGGCTTTAAGTTTCAAGTAAAGTTCCATAGCATTTCTTTGATTTATGAAAACTAAAATTGCTTTTCTTGAAATTAAAAAAATATACTTAAAAATACCTATTTAGGACCAGCAGTTAGCATAATGGCTACGTCGCTGGACTCTCATGTAGTCGACCGTGGTTCGCGTCCTGAACCCAGTGGCTTAAAACTCACGCTGGGTGCATGTGTGTGCGTGCCCAAGATCCTGAGAAGAGAATGGAGGAGAAGGGATTGCGGCATGGCCATCCCCCCACCCGGGGGGTGATTTCTTGCTTTCTGTCTCTCTGTCTCTCTCTGTCTGGCTGGCGAGCACACGTGCCCTATGGCAAAAACCTCTCCCCCAAAAAATACCTATTTAACGACCATAGTAAGCTATATAGCATCAGCTAGGTGCTACCTTATAGTATATTCATTCTACTCAGAGTTTCACGCCTAGAGTCAGATATGTATTCACAGTTATGTACATATCAGCTGAACTTGCTATGGAAAGTAGTTAGATTACTTATGGAATTTTGTGAATCAATAAAGTGTGAGGGAAAAAGGAATGGAAAACAACTGTAGACACCTTAGATAGTGTGGGAGGAGGATGGGAAATGGCAGAGGGTGAAAAATAAGTGTGAAAAAAATATATATACATATATATGTATATATATATATATATATATATATATATGAAACTAGGAATGGAAAATTAATGACGATAACATGTATGATTAAGCCACTATGCAGTGTATTTTGCATGGGAAATCACATTCTGTATGCTGTGATAATGGTCAGGGAATGAATGTAAATTAATTATCAGAAGAAAATTACAGCTCACTTGTAACTGGATTCTAGCTTTGTGCATAGTTTTAGTTTAAGGTATTTTGGGAATCAATAAAATGTGGGCGAAAAAAAATGTCAAACTGAGACCTCTCCGCCCCACTGTCAGCCTCTTCACCCCAGGGTCAGCAAACATTTTATTTATTTATTTATTTATTTATTTATTTATTTATTTATTTATTTATTTTAGAGAGGTTTTTTTTCTATAGGGCGCGTGCGCTCGCCGGACAGACAGAGAGACAGAGAGACAGAAAGTGAGAAATCACCACCCGGGGGGATGGTCACGCTGCAATCCCTTCTCCTCCCTTCTCCTCTCTAGATCTTGGGCACGCACGCACACGTGCCTGGTGTGAGTTTTAAGCCATCGGGTCCAGGACGCAAACCACGGTCGACTACATGGGAGTCCAACGACATAGCCATTACGCTAACTGCTGGTCCCCAGCAAACATTTTCTTAAAGGGCCAAATAGTAAACATTTCAGACTGGGGCTCAAGAGGCAGATTGCAGGATATTACACAGGCACATACACAGCCATTCAAAATGTACCTTTCTGAATATAAGCCGATCTTAGCTCCTGGACTGCGCAAACACCACCCGTGGCCTGGGTTTAGAAGCATGGGCAGTAATTCGGTGACCCCTGATGTAGATAGAGACTGGTTTCCTGCCAGGGTCTCTTCCCCCTCACTCCAAACACAGGAAACATCTCGACTGCAGGCACAGGACCTTAACGCAGACTGGACCTTGACCGTTCCCAACCTAAAGCTTCTGAGGGCTCCCTTTGCCCTCAGGATAAGGGACGAGGTAAAGGCCACTGTCCTGGTATGAGGAGGTCAGGACTCCTTTTCTCAGCCACCCTCTCCAGACCCAGGGGTGCTGTGCCTGATCTTCACAGGCTCCTGGGAAGTCAGGGCCAGGTGGGTGCCCAGGCCTGCAGGCCAGGGAAGGGGACGGGGCATGGCCATTTGGGCACTTTCTTGCCTCTAATATCACATGAGGCAGGCCCAGCACGCTGTGCCTCATGCCCTAGGAGCCCTTGACCAGGGCCCACTTAGCCCTGGGCCCCCAGCACCCTTTGCCCTCACATGGTCAGGAGTGAACCCTGGCCTTAGAGTCCCTTCTTCCTACCTCTCTTCTCTCCCACCTCCCACACCCCTGGCCTCCTCCTCCTGCCACCTCCTTCTCTCTATTTGCTTGGCAGGAGGAGGAAACCAGGACTCTGACTTTGTCACCTCAAACACTTTACTCACTTCAAGTGTTTCATTTTACTCACTTCAAGTGTTTCATTTCTCTGCTCATCTGCGTGATGGGCGTAACCAGCAATATCCGAAATGCTTAACAACCCTTAGACCAGAGACACAGGTTAATGAGAAGGGATGCTAGGGGTCCTGGAGGGCTGCTTTACCTAGAAGAATCCTTTAGCTCCAAAATCCCAGAGAGGTTCTGAGGGATCGTGTGTGTGTGAGTGTGTGTGTGCATGAAAGAAAGAGAGACATGGCTGTTGACTAATGTGTACAAAGTGCATGAAGACTTTACCAATCAGGACAGTGGTATCCGCATACAGGCTAAGCCCCAGCCCTGGGGTAGCAGTTCCCCCCATGTCTGGTACCAGCAGGTGAAATGGAGACCCCCTACCTAATCCCAGTCACTCTCCCTCCCAAGCCACAGTTCGTTAAAGACGTTTCCTTCAGCAGAGCGGGAGCCCGGGCAGGGGTGATGTCCATGGCCACATATCCTGAGTGAGGGCATGTACCCATGTGCAGAGTTCAGAAGCTGCCCAAGCCCCAACAGTGCTTTCCACTCCACCCACTTCCAAAAGGCCCAAGAGCTGTCTGTGTGAAGGAGCTCTGTGTATAGCAGAGCCCCTTTAGCATGAGTGTCTGTCCACGCTCATGGACAGTCCAGTCCAGCCCACCAGCCCAGACCCTAGCCCAGACACCTTACCCAGGGCCAAAAAGGAGAAGACCCACTGTAGGACCGCCAAGGTCTGCAGCCTGCGCTCCCATGGCACGGACAAGGGCGCAAACTCCACCATCTGGCCAGCCTGCCTGACTCGGGCTTCTCCAAACTGCAGTGGTGTCAGGCAGCCAGGATTTAAGTCCCGCCCTGAGTTGCATAAGGCAGCCCCTCCCAGGTCAGCCTGGCCCCAGACCTCCCTGCCTCCTCAGGCAGAAACCTATCCCCTAAGAGAAACCTTTGGATCTGCTGCTGGAGCCTGGTTGATGGAAGGAGGAAGAGAAGGACTTGTACTGCCTTTATCAACCTCCTCAAGCCAAGCCTTATCTGCCAAGCCTCTCTCTGCTTGCTTAAATCTTGCACGAATTAAATCTTAAATCCTTTAGTCTGGCAGGTGAAACCCCAGTATAATGTGATATACTTCTTACTGCCTTTCCACCAAGTATAAGGAGAAACCTTCTCACCTACTTCTTACCCCCTGGCCCCACTCCTTGCTCCACGGTCACCAGTGAAAGACTTGGCTTAGCTCCTATTTCCTTCCTCCTGTCTAGGTGACTGCTCGACATCCTGCCACGCCCATTGCTCCCAACCACAAAAGCTGAAATGGCACCCTTGACCCCATCTATCTCCTCTACTGCTGGCTCCATGGTTCTGTTTACCCCCATGCCGGAAAAGCTATCTGTATCGCATGCTTTCCTGTTTTCCACTCCACACTTCAGACACCACCGTCCACACAGTTGCCCTTGATAAGCCTGCTGAGGCCGTGTATCCAAAATCAGTGGTCAATTCTCAGATCTCATCAGCAGCCTTGGACATGGTTGGTCACTCCCTCCTCCTAGAAACTGCTTGGCCAGGGACCAGCACTTAGCATAATGGCTATGTCGCCGGACTCCCATGTAGTCGACCGCGTTTCATGTCCCAGACCCGGTGTCTTAAAACTCATGAAGGGTGCGTGTGCGTGCGTGCCCAAGAGAAGAAGGGATTGCGGTGAGGCCATCCCCCCTGAGGGGTGATTTCTCACTTTCTATCTCTCTGTCTCTCTCTGTCTGTCTGGCTAGCACATGTGCACTATAGCAAAAAAACAAACAAACAAACAAACAAACAAACAAAAAACCTCTCCAAAAGAAACTGCTTGGCCAATGGATACTGGATACCATGTGCTCTTGGTTTTCTTCCTCCCTCCTTGGCTGCTCCTTTTAGCAGGCAGAAATGGCCTCTACCTTCTCCCACACTAACTGTCTGAGCCCTCTCCCTGCCCTCAGTCCTTGGGCCTTCTCTTTTCTCTGTTCACTTCCTTGGAGACCTCACCAGGTTCATGGCTTTATAGCAGACCTCCAGTGAGGACCTCCACATCTGCACTCTAACTCTGACTTCTTCTTGTGGTTCTTGAACATCTAGGTGACTGCTTGACATCTTCACTTAAATGCCTGATAGACACCTTCACCACAGCCCATCTAAAACTTAACTTCATCTCCCCTTTTGGCCAGGCTGGCTCTTCCTTTACCCTTTTCCACCTCAGTAAAGGGTAAGTGCATGTAGCCAATTGCTCAGCCCAAACCCAGGTCACACAAGATTCTTTCTGTTCCTCTTCCTCTCCGTCTCAGTCACCACATCCTCTTGGTTTGCCTAAGTCTCTCCTTTAAAAAAAAAAAAAAGAAAAGAAAAGAAAAGAAAATTATATAGGGTATATGCACTCATCAGAGAAAGACATAGAGAAAAAAGAGGAAAAGTGAGAAAGCGCCTCACCCCAGTGGGCATAGCCACACTGCAATCCTTTCTTCTCCATTTACTTCTCGGGATTTAGAAGATACATGCTCACATGCCCAGTGTGATTTTCAAGCCGCCGGGTCAGCCATGTGGGAATCCAGTGCCTTTACCACCACGCCACCTGCTGGCCCTGAGAACTAACTTTTTCTTTCTCTTTCTCTTTCTCTTTCTCTTTCTCTTTTTCTTTCTCTTTTCTTTTCTCTTCTCTTCTCTTCTCTTCTTTTCTTTTCTTTCCTTTTCTCTTCTTTTCTTCTTTTCTTTTCTTTTTTCTTTTCTTTTCTTTTCTCTCTCTCTTTCTTCCTTTCTTTCTCTTTCTTTCTTCTTTTTCTTTCTTTCTTTCTTTTTCTTTTTTTTTTCTTTTTTTTTTTCTATAGGGCACATGTGCTTGCTTGCCAGAGAGACAGAGGGACAGAAATGAAAAATCACCTTCCGGGGGGCATGACCATGCTGCAATTCCTTCTCTATCATTCTCCTCTTGGGATTCTGGGCACACATATACAGACAGGCACTTGGTATAAATTTTAAGCCACCAAATCTGGGACCCAAACTGTAGTTGGCCATGTGAGAGTCCAGCACCTTAATCACTATGCCATCTACTGGTCCTCGTTCTTTTTCTTTCTCTTTCTTTCTTTCTCTTTCTTTCTCTTATGTTTTCTTTTTCTTTCTTTTTCCTTCTTTCTTCTTTCTTTCTTCCTTTCTTCCTTTTCTTTCATTCTGTACTTCCTTCCTTTATGTTATTCTTTCTTTCCTCTTTTTCTTCCTTCTTTCTTTCTTTATTTTTCCTAGAAGGCACATGTACTTGCCCAGAGAGCGAGGGAGAGAAAGCTAATATCAGTTCTGACTGGTTTGTGCTGGTCTGATTGGTTTTACCAGTTCATATTGGCTCTGGCCAGTTTATATCGACTAGTACCAGTTCTCACCAGTTAATACTGGTTTTGACAGGATTATACCAGTTCAAACTGGTTTATACTGGTTCTGACCAGTTTATACTGATCTATACCAGTTCTGACCAACGTTGACAGTTTGTACCAGCTCTGACAGGTTTATACTAGTTTGTGCTTGTTTGTACCAGTTCTGACCATTCTATAGTGGTTCTGACAGGCATATGCCAGTTCTGATCATTTTATATCAGTTCTTACTGATTCTAACTGGTCTATATTGGTTCATACAGTTCTGACCAGTTTGTACTAGTTCTGACCAGTCTACACTGGTTCTGGCCAGTTTATACTGGTTTATTCAGGATCTGACCAATCTATACTAATTCTGACTGCTACATATTGGTTCTGGCTGGTTTATACTGGTTCATACCTACTTTTGTCCATTTTTGTTTTTTACCAGTTTGTACCAATCTATACCGGTTCAGACAAGTTTATAGTGGTTCCTACCAATTCTGACAGATTTATGGCAGTTCATACCAGTTCTGACAATTCATACCAACCTGTACTGGTTTATACCAGTTTCTACTGGTTCTGACCAATTTATACTGCCTCATAACAGTTTACATCAGTTCTGACCTGTTTATACTGGTTTATAATTGTTCTGACCAGTCTATACCAGTTTAGGCCAGTTATATCAAATGGTTTATGCAGAATGGCTTAATACTGGTTTATACAAGGTTTTACTGGTTTATACTGTTCTGACCAGTTTATATTGGTTCTGACTGGTCTATACCTGTTCTTACCAATTTATACCAGCTTGTAATTGTTTATACTGGTTCTTACCAGTCTATACCAGTTCTGACTGGTTTGTACTATTTTATACCAGTTTATACTGGCTCTGAATGGTTTATACCAGTTTATACTGATTCATACCTGTTTATGTCTGTTTATACTGTTTCATATGGGCTCTGACCAGTTTGTACTGGTTTGTATTGGTTTATACCTGTTTATTCTGATTCATATAGGTTCTGACCAGTTTTTACTGGTTCTGACCACTCTATACTGGTTATGACCAGTTTATAGCAATTCTGACCAATACATAGCAGTTCTGGCCAGTTTGTACTAGTTCTGACCAGACTATACTGGTTCTAACAGTTTTATGCAGGTTCTGACCAGTTTATATATTTTTATACCAAGTCTTACAGGTTCTGGACAGATTCTGAATAGTTCATATTGGTTCTGACCAGTTTATCCTGGTTTATACTGCTTCTAACTGGTCTATACTGGTTTGTACCTGTTCATATTGGTTCTGACCAGTTTGTACTGGCTTTTACCAGTTTATACTATTTTATAATGGTTCATATCAGTTCTGACCAGTACCAGTTTTGACTCATTTATATCACTGTAGCAGTATGGGTTTTTACCTTTTCTGACTGGGCTATACTGGTTCTGACCAATTCTAGCCAGTTTATACTGGTATCACCAAACACAGTTTTGTTGTTTATTTTTTTATAATGCAGCATAATTTTGTTTTTCTTTTTTTAAGAATTATTTTATTTTGACTCTTTATTATCATTTTTCAATTTGGCCAGAGAGAGAGAAAATCAGAAAGGAAGCCACCAGGTCTGGGACTTAAACCATGGTTGGCCATGTGGGAGTCCAGCACTTTTAACCACCATGCCACCTGCCGACTTTTTTTTTTTTTCCAGAAGTTTTTGCTGTAGGGTGCGTGTGCTCACCAGAAAGATGAGAGAAACAGAGACAGAACGTGAGAAATCACCCCCCAGGGGGATGACCACTCTACAATACCTTCTCCTCCATTCTCCTCTTGGGATCCTGGGCACACACACTCTGCGCCTGGTGTGAGTTTAAGCCACCGAGTCCAGGAATCGAACCACAGTTGACTACATGGGAGTCCAGCAACGTAGCCATTACACCTTCTGCTGGTCTCTATAAAATACCTTCCTGTGAAGCTGATATGGAATGATATTTACAAATGATTCTATATGCTGTACAGGTGTGCTCTGGAATACCATTTAGACTATGGTAAAGTTTTAATTATTCCACTCTCTAGACATAAGGACCGTTCAGCCAGATCTAACTGCAACTCCTGGAGATGTGAGAAATTTTTGTTTTCAGGGCTCTCTTAAGCACTGATGCTCACTGAACTTATTGTACACTATTTTTTGAGAACTCTATGAAGCAATCTCAAACTTACCAGTCTAGATGTACCACAAGATTTGTTTTCTTTTATCATGTCATGCTTTTATCATGTCATGGGCAAACTTAAAAGACTTGAAAATTTCCCTAGCCTTAACAAAGAAAGAGAGCATGATCTCATTGTTCTATGATCCCCATACGTAAATAAAAGTCTTTTTATTCCTTTCCCCCTAAAGAGACTCAATTTCTAGGAAAATAAATACCAACCTAGTTTATACTGGTTTATAAACCAGTTCTG